TATTCGTGACTCAGTATGTGTCTTTAGATCAAAAGAAAAAAATAAGTTCTATTCATAACGAATAATTCATTATATAGTAATAAATAGATCGAATTTAATAATACTAGTATGAAATGAACAATATCATTGATTTTGTAAACGGGAAAATAATGTTAAAAAAAAGAAAAAATAGCTTGTCTGGCTAATTCTTCTACCAGAAGAATAAGTGCGTTGTCATTTCTATACATTTTATTGTTTTTATAAGTTTTGAACGATTCATTAGAACAACGTAAGTGACATTTTATTTTATTCCTTAAACTATGCTCTAGAAAATTAAAATTTTCATTTTTTTTTGTAATTAGCTCTTTCCTTTATCTATAAGTATACAAAAAAAAATTGAGAAGTACGTTTTCTAGAGTATAGTTTAATGAACAACATAAGATATCGCTCACGTTTTCTTAGTCAATCATTCGAAACTCATGAGAAGAACAAAATGCATTAAAATGATAACGCATTCACTCCTTCGATAATAGAGTTAACTGGACAAGTTGAAAACATACTAATATTTGATTAACTGAAAAATGCGTCTATTCAATCATTAGAATGTTTTATTTATAATTTGAATCGACAAGAAGTAGATTAATCAGGATATATATAGTCAAACTTAATATATTCAAAAAACAAAAAAACGAGTTAGGTTTCACGTGAATACCCATAAAAACCGTTTTACATCTTCACTCATATTCGAACTTGGTGAACTATTCATATATTAAAAGTTGTATTAAAATTGTTCTCTTACATATATTATCTGAAATTCAATATTTACTAGTAGGTGTTGATTTCATTTACCAATAGGGCAATATGATGCTATACATTATCAATAGCATTAATACATTTTATAACTATTGATACTTGTCAAAAAAACTATTCGTCAAGAACACTATATTCTAAATTACTGTGTGTGTAGGATGTTATAGATACTAATATGTAATGAGAAACGATGGTTTTTTGATTCTGTAAAACTGGTTTATGTTAAAAATAGAAGTCATATACACATATGTTGTATTGAAAGGCAATATATTAGATAAATATGAAGATCAATATCAAATATCGCTCTTTGATTATGTAGCTTTTCTTCTTGTCTTTTACATTTAGAGAATTTTGAATGTTTACAAATTTATTCAATTATTTCAAATCTTTGTTTATAAATATTTAGTCAAAAACATGAAATTTCTATAAACAAACCAATCGAATAATCAAAATAAAACTAATCTTTCAATCCAATAGAATATTTTGTATTTAACTTTTAATAGCTGTAAATAATTTATGTGAAAATGATATATTGAAATTATACTTGTCCATAAGTCTATAATAAATATGATAACAGTAACTACAATGAATTCTTTTTTTTTTTAAAGCTATTCGAAGGCAAAATTGAAAGAAAACATGCTTCATAGGAAAACAACAACAATCAAATAGAAATCGACTAGATCAATACAAGCGTGTTACTCAATCTGATTCATTACAAGAACGGATTGCATAATAAACAAGAAAAGTGTGTCTCATTTTTACATGAATAATAATAATAATAAAATCTGTACGAAATAGACATGAAACGACAAAAGAAAAAAAAATGGAAAATATAGAAAAAAAAAAAAAAAAAAGAAAAGAATTTGTAATCATGTCAAAATAGATTGTTTAATTATGTTGTTACTTCTTTATATTGAATGTTTGATCAATCACTAGTTGAATCACTATTATTGCCAGATGATGAAGGTCCATATACTGGAGAATTTTCACTACCACTTATACCTGTTGCACTATCTTCTGGTTTTATAGCTGGATTTGGAGGTTCAAAATGAGCATATTGTTTAGCAGAATTTTTTTGTTTAACTTTTTCTTGTTTTCTCCAAAGAACAATTTCCTAAAAAAAAAAAAAAAAACAAAGAGTTTTTAATATAAAAAACAAACAAATAAATACTTGTTGTTTAAAATAACGTCGTTCTTCTTCATCAACTAGAACTAAATTAAGAAAATATCTAACAGAAAATTTTCTTTGAACATCTTTCATTGTTGGTGTTAAATCATAACCACCTAAAAAAAGACGAATTGGAATACTTTCACCTCGAACAGGTGCACCATCCATTATTTCATATTTTGCAATTGTTTCAGTTTCAGCATAAATATTTGGTCCACTACCTGTACTTTCTTTTTTTAAAATTGCTATTTCCATATGTTTTATTTTAATACGAACAAGTAAAAAATAAATTTTTCCAACGATAACATCTTTTAAATGATATCTAAATAAATAAAAAAACAAATTTTTAAGAATAAAAATCAAAATAAAATTTTTTACTTCGATTTATTATATTCAAATTCAATATGTAAACAATCTTCAATACCAACTTCCATTTTAATACTATTATTTATTTCTGGATATTGTGATAATTGTTGAACACATATGTCACGTTCGCATACTGTATTTGTAAAACGTCTTATAATTGTCAAACGAAGAAAATATCTAAAGTAAAAAGAAAGACAAAAATTTTTTAATTCATTTTTGTTTTTATTTTATGAATACCTCAATTTAACATTAATACCAATATAAGATTCATAGGGTTTTTCAACATTTGGAAAATGAAAATCTTTAAAAATAAATAGAAGAAAAACAAAATCATAAGACAATTATTTTTACCTATGCTTGTATTTTCAGTTAATTCGCCTGGAAAAGCAAGTAACTTTGATAAATTAATAAATTCATGAACTGTACTTCGATCATTTAACATTTCTAAAAAAATTTTTTAATTAGAAAAAAAAATAATTTTCAGTCGTTAATTTAATCTGGAACACTGGTAAATATTAGAAAAGTACACCACCCTACAAGCTGTTAAATTCTATTACTCGGACTGGTTTTTTTTTTGTTGATAGATTCCTTCTTTATAAGACACAGTTCGTTTAATTATCTCGTACTCATTTGTTAATTTTATAAAATAAATTATAAATAATGTTGATTAAAAATTATCATGATTGCAAATAAACCTCAATCGAAGCTTAGTAAATTTCAATTTAAAAAGCATAACATTCAAACTTGCCTTAAATCTAAAATTATGCAAATTTAATTATAAAATAGATTGAGATTGAAACAAGCATTTCATAAGCATATATCTATATCTGATTATATTTTTGCCTAATTTAATATTCTCTCGTAGTATTTTTAACTTTATATTTCTATTCATATGCGAATGTTAAAAATAGAGCACTATCTCTTTAGGTCGCCCCGCCTCACTCAAAAATCGACCTCAAGCCAGATATACGGAAATCGCATGAAATTTTCAGTCCTGTACTATAGCCTATGAGGAAGATATCTGTCAAACAAGAATCAAAAAATAGCTCATTTCATCTCCAAAAATTCTTTGTGGTGTTCAGTCTATGTATCTAATATATATTTTTGATTGAAAGAGCATGTCAGAATGCAGTACCTATGAGAGTTCTTTTTTTTTTTTTGTAGAAACTCTTATCTTTCAAGCGGAGACAAGAGCTGATGAGTTCAATTACTCGAAAAACTCTCAAAAAAAAATGGCACTCTAATGATAAAAGTGCTTGTCAATATAAGAATAACAAAACTTCATTCAAAAAAAAGCTCTTTCAAACAAAAAAAAGAACTATTGGTTACAATGAAGATTCTCCAAGACTTCTAGGAGATGCGATCAAAAACCTATAAAACGAGAAAAAACGAAAAAGATTTTTGGTCTTTTTCTAAAAACAGTTTATTTTTCGAATAGGGGATGATAGAAATCTTCAAAAAATTTTAGAAAAAAATGAGATCCCGGGTAAAACTTTTTCTCATTTATAAGAGATCGAATCACGGACTATCTTTCCTTGTATTTATCTTAATTTCGATCATTCTGGTGAAAAGTAAATTTTTTAAGGAAATTTCGAAGTTGAGTTTTTGTTACAGAAAGATGCAGCAAAGCTTTCTCTTTCAGAATATATATGACCTTTTGGAAAATGACCAGATTTTCAAAGACTTATTACATGAAACTTTGACTCTACTACCATATTTTCGAAGAAATTTTCATGGTTTTTAAAGTTTTTCAATTTTGAAAAAACTGCGTTGCCGCTTGCATTATCATTGAATAGAACATTGTTATATTAACCAGCATGTCAGATGGCATTAGTTACCTTCAATCTATTACGTAGTTTAAAACAGTTCACTGGAATATACTTAAAATCTACCATTGTAATATGATTTGTTCTGGATTTGAATGAAAAAAACCATTTCTAAAACTTCTTTAGCATTTTTCTCGAAACATGGTTTCTAGGCAGGAAAAATTGAAATAATTCCCGCTCAGATTGGACTAAAATCGATGGTTTTTTTGTTTTAAAGGTCTTAGTCAGAGCTAACTTTTCATTGGATGGATTTTTGATACTTGATTCCTTGACTGAGAAAAATGGGATTTACTATCGATCGAATCACCTTTCTTATGCTTGTTTTGAACACCATGTCCATTAAATGCTCATAGAAAATGAATGGAACGGAATTTCAAAATTCCGTCCGATGAAAAGCTGGGCACAGAGGCTAGCTTTAATTTGAAACCAGCCTAGGCTCTGTACCCTTTATAACGACGGACTTATTTCGATTCTCCTGGAAGGCAGAAAAACAAGCCGAAAGTTCGGTCTAGTCAAGTATATCAGGCTGAAATTTTTTACCACAGGTGTTTCTGACTAGGACCACTCGTTCCTGAAAATTTCAGCCCAAACGATCCGTTCTAAGTGGGAAATCAATTCTAAGGAACCCCCTAAGAAATATAATACTGCCACAAATGTAAGAAAAAGAATTTCGAGATACCGCTAGGCGCGGCCACCGGGTAATCGCACTACTGGCCAAAAAAATTTCTAGTGGTAATTACCCCCCTCCCTCACTATTTAGGAGTTGTCGTCGTTCTGCATACCACTTTCTCCTCAGATTTTAGGCGAGATGCACATCTCTTATTCCAAGTGGATTCCTTCTATTTACTGACTAGAAATTGAAATACATTTTACATAGAACAAAATCATAGTATCCAATAAAATTAACGTTCTCATTCAAATATTTTCCTCAAATTAGAATGTAAAACTCTAAAAACGACTTCTATCAAAATAGGAGATTTAAGAAAAAAAATCCTATAAATTTTATTAGTAAAACTTTAATACTAACCGATTTGTCCAATAAATTCCAATCGAATTCCTTGATGTTCTACTTTGCTATTTTTCTTTAATTTAATTTGTACCTAGATATTCAATAAATAGAAAATAGATTAGATTTATTTATAATTTCTTTCTTACCGTTCCTCCAACATCTTCACCATCATAATAAATATATTGCAATATACGTTTATTAGTATTATCATCAAGTTTAACTTCAATTTGTTTTCGTTGACCTTGTGGATCAAGTAAAAAATCAATATCAACTTTTGATCCTAAACCTAATAGATCCATTTTAAAATAATCTACAAATAAGAGAAAAAAAAGAAAAATGTCTCAATATTTTCTGATATCTTTTTTTTCTTCTTTACACTACTAGAAAATGACAAATAGAACGAAAAAAAAAGGAAAAGGAGATTTCAAAAGTTTATTGATATGGTACCGCCTTTGCTGAATCATAAGCAAAATCTTTTTTATTTCGAACGTCTGCTATATACTCTTCATATGTAATTGATGGACCATGTTTACTTTCATCATAATATTTTTGTTGTATAAATTTTCGACCACTATAACCACAATTGT